GCTGCTGCTGCAGCGTCTAGCTCATTACCCTTGACTTTAACTTCCCCGCCGATTATCAGTTGAAGCCCTGCACTCGTAAACCACGTTTTAGGGTTTAGGGTTTAGGGTTTAGGGTGTGGGCCTCTCGTTTGTCCCCTGCTCGCTGTTCAAGCATTTCAACGTGAAGCGCTTTTCCGTCTTCGATTTCAACAAATAAGGGTTTAGGGTTTAGGGTTTAGGGTTTACCGTTGATTTGAATGTCTACATTGATATCTTTTTCCAATTCGATTTGCTGCTTGAGGTAAATGGCCAAATAGCCAATTGCTTCTTGGCGGGCAAGTGCTGCTGCAGCAATCCAGTTTTGCTGCTGCTGCCTCGCAGCAGCAGCAGCAGCAGCAAGCAGCAGCAGCAAACCCGAACCCCACAGACACAACTCCCGCAGCCGCAGCAAATATTTTATTTTAATTTCTTTTTTCATTTTATAAAATTCATTTTGCAAACTTTCGTCTGCAGCGCTCCAGCAGCGACTCCCCAACCGCCGGTATATGCTGCCTGCACACAAACCCTAAACCCTAAACCCTAAACCCTAGCAGCAGGCGCCAAGTTCGAGTGTGCGCGGGTGGTAAGCTGCTCGCTACTGGAGTCTGGGCTGTCAGTTCTTCTTGTAGAGTGCCTTAAACCCCAAACCCTAAACCCTAAACCCTAAACCCTAAACCCTAAACCCTAAACCCTAAACCCTAAACCCTAAACCCTAAACCCTAAACCCTAAACCCTACGGAGGGGAGACCAAAGCACCAGCTTTATTTGCCTTCCTATTTGAGAGCTATTTAGTGTTTCGACTCTTCTTAATTAAACAATAAATAAATAAATCCTTATCCGTTTATTTATTTATTTATTTATTTGGTTTATTTATTTATTTATTTATTTAGGGTTTGTTCTTACTGGCTGTGGACTCTCTTTGTTTTGTTTTTTTCTTTTCTTCATTTTGTTTTCCAAAATTAAATTCAAATAAATCCAGAGGCAGCACTGCGCGACTTGCTGCTGCTTCTAGGCCCTAGCATCAGCAGCAGCAGCAGCAGCAGCAACGGCAGCAGCAGGACAAGTGGGAAGAGCTAATCATGTTGTGGTGTTTCCTGGGAGCCCAGCCCTAATAAACCCTAAACCCTAAACCCTAAACCCTAAACCCTGAGCCGAAGCTCGTCATCTCGCTGAACCCTCTGCCTGTTTATCTGAATTTCGAGCTCCAGGGCATGCTGCCTGGGCCAAGGGTTTAGGGTTTAGGGTTTAGGGTTTAGGGTTTGGGCGTGCTTCGAAGGGGTGGGTCTTCCACTTGACGGCGGTTTGGTCTTGCTTGAGAAGAGGGTTTAGCGCAGCAGCAGCTTCAGCAGCAGCAACTTCTTTCAAATTAATTAAATTTGTCACTTCTGATTCTGTTTGTTTTTGTTGGCACCTTTCCAGCAGCGGCAGGTTCAGCGAGGTGTACAGACAGTCGGACACAAACTCGTCCAGGCCCCAGTACCTGATTGCAAATTGTTTCTCCACTTATTTATGTATTTATTCATTTATTTATTTATTTGTTTGTTTGTTTGTTTGTTTGTTTGTTTGTTTATTATTTATTTATTTATTAAGTGGTTCAAACAGTAAAATGATCGGTTGAGCCAAACTAGCGCATTGTTGAGGTGTATGTACAGCTCAGGCAGGGGAATTGGATCAAATGTTTTCTTTTGTTTCGGCCCACAAAAGAAATAAAAAGCGACAGAATTAACAAGAAAAATAACAATAATCAAAATAATTACAATTAAAAGAGCAATTAAAACAAATAATGGAACTAATTAAGAGCTTTTACCCCCCCCCTTCCCGTCATTTGGGGTGTACAGACACCTGGCGATCTCGGCCTCCACGGCCATGGCCACTTGCGCGCCCAAAAGTTCGGCAAAAGAAGAAGTGACATTTAATTCATTTATTCTTTTTATTTCCTTTTCTGCTTTCTGCCGCTCCGCCTCTTCTTGGCAGTACAGAGAATCTATCAACTCGTCCACTCGCAAGTGCAGCTCCTCCTGAAACAAACCCTAAACCCTAAACCCTAAACCCTAAACCCTAAACCCTAAACCCTAACTAAGGTGGTGCTGAAGCTCATCTCCCTACTAAGAAGGCATAAAAGATCAGCAACAGCAGCAGCAACAACAACAACAGCAATACACGCAGCAGCAGCAACAGCAGCAGCAGCAACAACATCAGCAGCAAGATCAACAGCACCATCAACAGCAGCATAAACAGCAGCAGCAGCAGCAGCAGCAGCAGCAGGACCTTGATGTGGGGCAGTTTGACGTGGTCCCCCAGCAGGTTTCTGGCTTGTTTGTAGTTATTTAAAAAGTTTCTAATTTGTTCATTTGTTTCATTTTTTTGATTTAAAAGTTCTGCAATTCTGTTTTGAATTCGCAAAAAAGAAAAACGAAAACTTGTGTCAAACTCCGCACTCCACGCCAGCAGCTGCAACAGAAAGTAATAAAAGAATTAAAAAAAAACTAAAAAAAAATTAAAAAAGAATTCAAAAAAAGAAATTCGAAAAGGAAATCCAAAAAAGAAATTCAAAATGGAATTCAAGAAAGACTTCAAACGGGATTTTTTGCAGGCATTTGGGTGTACAGACACTCCAGACTCTTATTTATATTTTTTTATAAATTCTTTTCTTCTTTTCAAAAAATGAAATTGAGGAAAATAACTTTTAAATGAAATTAAAATTAAAAGTTATTCGAAGCAACAAATCCAAAAAGAACAAATTGCAAAATAAATGACAAGTTCCAAAAAACAATTTTCAAATCAATTCATTCATGTGCAAACAAACTCAAGCAGCATATAATCAATGAATAAATAAAAAAATAAATGAATAAATAAATAAATAATAAAAAATAATAAATAATAAATAAATAATAAATGGATACGTAAATAAATAAATGGACAAATGAAAAAGAAGACTTCCGAGTTGCTTTTAAAAAGAAAAAAAGAAAAGGAATTGAAAAAACAAAAACAAGAAACTAAGATAAACCAATCAAACAACATAAAAACAAAAGAGAACAGGAACTCAAATCAAAAAACCAAAAAGGAAAAAAAGAAAAAAGAAAAAAAGAAAAAAAGAAAAATGAGACCCCCGCGAGTTCAGGTGTACAGACACCTCACCTGGGCCACCGAAGTCAAAAAGCCCTCCGTTAAGTCCAACCATTGTTCTTTCAAATATACTTTTGTTTCTTCTTCCATTTGCTCCAGCCGCTGGCTCCACAGAGACCCTTCACGCGCCAGCCAGCCCTAGGGTTTAGGGTTTAGGGTTTAGGGTTTGGGGTTTCGGGTTTGGGGTTTAGGGTTTGGGGTTTATGGGCATGGGGTGATTTGAGAGGGTTGGAAGCCTGGGGACTCTCTCAGCTGCCCCAAGGGCTTAAGGTTTAGGGTTTAGGGTTTAGGGTTTAGGGTTTAGGGTTTGCGGACTGAAGGAGTGGTTTGCGTTGCTGCTCGATTCGTCTTCAAGGTTTTGCTGCTCCTTCTCTCCAGCTGCTTCTTCTCCTAAATGAAATAAAAAGAAATTAAATTAAATTAATTAAACCAATAAAATTAATTTAATTAATTTAATTTTTATTTTTGTTGATTTAATTGAATTAATTAAATCAACAAAAATAAATTTAAATTGAATTAAATTAATTAAATATAGTAGAATAAATTAATTTAAATGAATAAAATAAATTAAATTAAATTAAAAGTGAAAATAAATTTAATTTCAAAATCAGCTGATGAGCCAATTCCGTTGCTGCAAACCCGAAGCAATAAAACCCCATACCATTTTATTTGCTTTTTATTATTTATTTATTTATTTATTACTTATTTATTTATTTATTTTTTATTTATTTATTTATTTATTTTATATTTTTTATTTTTTATTTGTCGTTTTGCGCCTGGCCGCCACATTGGCCATTTTATTTTGATTGCACACTTAGCAGCAGCAGCTGCAGCAGCAGCAGCAGCACATGCAGCAGCGGCTGCAGCAGCTGCTCCTGCTGTTGCTACCCCTTCTGCTGCTGCTGCTGCTGCTGATATTCCCGCTGCAGCTGCTTACCCTCTGCTGCTGGTGCTGCTGCTGCTGCACCAGCACTTGCAGTGCCCGAGCCTGCTGCTGCAGCTGCCGCTGCTGCTGTTGTTGTTTCAGTCGGGTTTGCTGCTGCTGCACCCGTTGCTGCTGCTGCTCCTCCTGTTCCTTCAGCAGCAGCAGCAGCAGCTGCTGCTGCTGCTGCTGCTGCTGCTGCTGCTTTCTTTTCCTTGGCCTTTAGTGCTTCCACCTTCAAAGCTAAAATACGGTCTATCTGTGCAGTTGCATTCAAACCCTAAACCCTAAACCCTAAACCCTCAACCCTAAACCCTAAACTCTAAACGCTAGAATCTAAGCCGTTCCTTTGAACGTTAAATCCAACCCTTGCTATTGAACCCCTAGTCCCAAACCCTAAACCCTAAACCCTAAACCCTAAACCCTACTTTTTGTGTGGCAGCTGCAAATATTTCGCTTGTGTCTGTGCTGCTGAGCTTGAGCAGCCGGGGCTCCTCCTTCCGGCAAACAAAAAACAAGAGACAAAAAATATAAAATTAAATTAAAATTAAAATTAAAATTGAAATTAAATAAAGTTATTTTAATTCTTTTTCTCATTTAATGCCACTTGAAGAAAGCAGTAGACAAACGCGAGGCACAGAGCTGCCGGGAGAACCAAAACAACCGAGGGTTTAGGGTTTAGGGTTTAGGGTTTAGGGTTTAGGGTTTGCCACTGCAACAGTGAGTGTAGTTTTAAAGAAAAAAAGCTGTACGACGTAGTGGAGTGCTGTCGCCGTTAGCAGGAGACACCTTAGGGTCTAGGGTTTAGGGTTTAGGGCTTAGGGTTTAGGGTTTAGGGTTTAGGGTTTAGGGTTTACTTGAATGCCAAAGTTCGTAAGAAACTCCTGTACGAATTCTTGGTGCGCTTCGAAGGCAAAAGACAAATCCAGAAGAGACAGCTGAAATAAAAATAAATAAATAAATAAATAAACAAGTTAATTAATTAATCAATTAATTAACTAATCAATTAATTAATTACTTAATTAATATTAAATAAAAAATTTTACGCACAATAAATAAATAAATAAAGATTATTGCATCAAGCTCTGGGCAGGAGGGGCAAAAGAAAAACAGAGAAAAGACGGCTGTTCAAACCCTAAACCCTGAGCCCTAAACCCTAAACCCTAAAACCTAAACCCTAAACCCTAAACCCTAAACCTTAGTCTTCCGCGCTAAACCGAATGCCCAAGCCTGAGGCGCGAAAGCCTAAATCCTAGCCCTAAACCCTAAACCCTAAACCCTAAACCCTAAACCCTAAACCCTAAACCCGAGCCGGATCGCTGTGTACCGACTTGCAGCCTTTAGAGCTTTCCTGTATGAATTAATGTAAAGCGAATTAGCGAATTGATTAATCAATCTATTTATTCATTTTTATTTATTTATTTATTTATTTATTTATTTATTTTTATTCGTGTGTTTGTTTTGTATTTGTTCATTTAGTTGATCGTCAGAGATCATCGCCTGGTCCAGTGCATGACTCCGCGGGTCTCCAGGATAAGCAAAAAGGGGGGAAATGGCCATTTAAAAAAACAAAAAGAGATTCTTAAGAAAGGAAATAAAATAAAAAAGGAAAATAAATAAAAATGAAATGATAAAAACGAAAAAGAACAAAAAAGAGAACAGAAATGAAGAAGAAACGAGCGCGACACTGGCGAGGCGTCCGGCGGCGCTCAGGTGTCGCGACAGGCGATCCGGAGGGAAAAATGGATATTTTGGAAATAAAATGCGAGAAATGAATTGAATAAATAAAATTTAATAAATTAGAAACATTTAATTTGGCACTTGGGGCTTTATTTTGCGGAGTGGGTTACTTTGCTGCTGCTGCCCGCCTGTGGCATGGGCACGACGAAGGCGCTCTTCTCCTTGATGATCTCGCCGTCGCTCGGAGGCTTTAATTCATTTAAAATAAACCCCGAAATTACTTTTTCCAAATAAATATACTGATTAATAGTTGTGGGAAACCCGAGGAGGATCCAGCCGCAACGGGGTGCCTCCGCAGTTGTCGATACACCCGAGCTGTTGCTGCTCCCGCCTCTGCTGCTGCTGTCTTGCCCCGACGGTGCTGCTGCTGCTGCTGCCTTGCCTCTGCCGCGCTTCCCTGAGCCCTTGCTGCTGCTGCTGCTGCTGCTGCTGCTATTTGCTTTGCTGCTGTCCCCCGGGGGCTCTTCGAAGGCGGAAGAACACAGCCGCCGCAGCTGCTCCTCCGGGGTGTACGTACACTCCGCAGCAGCAAACAGCCGATTCAGCTTTTCGGCAATCAGCAAAACTGAAACTTCATCTGGCAGTTCTTTTCCTTTGGTCAAGTAGTTCGCAGCAACACGCCCCAACTCCACCAAAGACAACTCACTTCCTCCTGCTGCTCGTGGGCTTGCTGCTGCTTCTGCTGCTGCTGCTGCTGCTGCTACATTCTCTTCCTGTTGCTGTTGCTGTTTCTGCTGTTGTTGTTGTTGTTGTTGCTGCTGCTGCTGCTGAGGCTGCAGGGGCTCTTTTGCGTTGCTGCTGCCAGCGTTCGTCCCGTCTTCGGCTGCCGCAGCAGCAGCAGCAGCAGCAGCATCTGCTGCTGCTGCTGCTTCCATTGCCTCCTGAACTGTTCGCTCAAGAGTTACTACTTCGAGTTTGTACCTGCTGGCTAGCTGGCCGGCTAGCGCTAGCTGCCCACTGTTGGGTTTGCCAGTAATTATAATGCGGAGAGCAGCAGCAGCAGCAGCAGCAGGTTGGGGGGGCGCAGAAGCTGCTGCTGCTGCTGCTTCTGCTGCGTCCAGCAGCAGACTGACCAATTCGCCAACAGACTCCAGCTGCGGCGCTTCCACCGGTGCAGCAGCAGCAGCAGCAGCAGCAGCAGGTGCTGCATCGGCGTCTGCCGCAGCAGCATCATCCGAGCTGGTTGTGGGAGCAGCAGCAGACACGCTGCTCGGAGCAGCAGCTGCTTTCGCCGCTCCTGCGGCTGCTGCTGCTGCTGCTGCTGCTGGACTTTCTGCGTTTGCAGCAGCAGCAGCAGCTGCTGCTGCTGCTGCCTGCTCAGCAGCGCCCCCGCCCTGCGCGTCCCTATTAGCAGCGCCACTACCATCATTAATGCCATTATTATTATTATTACTATTATTATTATTATTATTATTATTATTATGATTGCGAAGAAGAGCAGCAGCAAAGTCCTGCATGGAGGGGGCGGGGGGCAGCCAGGGGAAGAGCTGCGGGAAGCTGAGGGGCCCCCAGGGGCCCCTGGCGTTCAAAAAGTCTTTAATTTGAATAATGAAAGAAAAAGAAAGTGGAGAAAGAGGGGGCCTCATTTGCAGCTGGGGTGTACGTACACCTGGCGGCGCCGCGGGCAGCCGCACCAGCACCTGGCGCTGCCCGCGCCACACCCCTCCTGCTGCTGCTGCTGCTGCTGCTGGCTGCTGCTGCTGCTGCTGCTGCTGCTGCTCGCCGGCGACGAAGGCGGAGAGCCAGCCGCGCAGCACGCGGGAGGGCAGGCTGGGGCTGTTGTGGCTCTCCTTGTACTCTGCTGCTGCTAATGCCATTTCAATTAAATCTTTTGAAAGAAGTTCGCATGCACTGACGAGCCGCGAGCGCTTGAGGGCCCTGCGCAGTGTACGTACACCCCGCCACACGCGCGCCTGCTCCTCCGCCGCTGCGCGCGTCAGCAGCGCCTCCTGCTGCTGCTGCAGCGCCAAGTGCCGCTGCTGCTGCAGCGCCGCCTGCTGCTGCTGCTGCTGCAGCAGCTCCCGCCGCACCTCCGCGTTGCTGCGCACCACGCCCTCGTACGCCCGCGCCCGGGCCACAGCAGCAGCCAGCTTCGCCCCATCCACCGAACGCCTGCTGCTGCTGCTGCTGCTGCTGCTGCTGCTGCTGGCGGCCGCCGCGGCGGGCGCAGCAGCAGCAGCGACGTGGGCAGTGAGCGCCTCTCTGCACTGCTGCGCCTGCTGCATCAGCAGCTGCTGCCGCCTCCTGGCCCTTTCGTAGCTTTCTGCTTCGTGAGCTTCTTTTGCTGCATGCAGCTGCTGCAGCAGCTGCGAGTTGAACTCCACTTGGCTCTGCGCCGACGGCAGCCGCAGACACATCTGCTGCAGCACTTCCTCCACGGCCCGCCCGCACCCCCCGCAGGGGACCCCCGGGGGGCCCCCCGGGGCCCCGCCGCCCGGGGGGCCCCCCGGGGGGCCCCCAGGAGCTCCGGGGGCCCCCGGGGCCCCCAAAGCCCTTGGGGTTTCCGCAGCGCGAGGGGAAGAAGCCGCGCGGGGCGAGCGGGGCGAAGAGGGGCCCCCCGGGGGGGGCAGGGGGGCCCCCGGGGGGCTGGCTAGGCCCTGGCGCTGGAGGCTGAGCTCGAATGCATCAATGCAGTCGAAAACTTGGGCCCTCGCGGTGGCATTTGAAGAAGTTTTTGGTTTTCGAGGAGAAACAGAAGTGGCGGAGAGAGGCGGGGGCTCGAGGGCTGCGCGCGCGGGTTTCGCGCGAGGTGGAGATACACCCGAGGAGCGGGGCTGTGCAGGTTTGCGAGTTGGGTCGTTTGGGGACCTTCCACTTTTTTCTTTTGCGAGTTTTTGGGAGGACTGTGCAAGAAGAGTGTCAATGGAGGCCTTTTGCTGCTGCTGCTTCGCAGCAGCAGCTTCTTGAATGCGCTGCAGAAGCCTTGCTGCTGCTCCGGACTTGGTGCCGATTATGTTTTGCATTAAACCCGCACTTAATTGAATTCCTATTTGCGCCAAAGCTGGCCGCAAAGCTGCGAAGTTCTGCGCCTTTGCGGCCTCGCCGCCGCAGCTTTGAAAGCCCCGCAGGTCCTGCAGCAGCGACAGCCGCAGCAGCACTTCTGCAAACAGGAAGCCGTCCGCAAAGTCCGTTTCCACGCAAACAACGGGCTTGGAAAGCTCCAGGCTTTCCAGCCAGTTCAAAAGAGAAACGCTCATTTTAACATTTGAAAAAAACAAAAAAAATGCACTTCAAACTCCCATTTTCCCGGGAAAACCCCCGATACCCCCAAGTGACCCTGCTGCCCCCAGCCGCACCGGTGCAGACAAACCCCGATTTAGTTCAAATTCATTCTCTTTGCTCCATTAGTTCCAATTCTTTTGTTTATTTGTTTCATTTCTTTGAATTCATTTGCCTTTCAATGCCTTTTCGCTAAAAAATGCAACAAAAAGCCCGCGTTCAACTGCTCCGGCTTCCGGGGCTGCAGATATTCAAGTTTTGGGACTGGCCACGACAGCCACAATGCAAATGCGGCAAACAACTCCACTCCGAGTGTGAAAATTTAGAATTCTCAATTATTTAAATGCTCTCTAAACGCTTTTAATTCTTCGAGTTGCTCATTTCTCCTTCAGTTGCGGGGTTTCCCCATGATCACGTGCACGCTGCAGCACAGACAGACGGAAGCTCTGCGGCGGTGTGCAAAGTTCATAGCCGCTGATCCGCCTAAATATGAATTCAAATATCAAATTGGGAAAATAAAAGGCTGAAGGGCTTTTGAAGTGCCGGCGAATTCGGCAGTCTTTGCGGCCGCCTCGCCTGTGAAACGAAACGGAAAGCGGCTGGACATGGAGCCCTCAGCGACTGAAAACAACTGCTTCTGGCCTTTACTGAATTAGTTTTGCAAAATAAAGTTAAATAAAAGTTTAATTTGAACTTTAAAATCAATTTATTTCGCATTGTGTCGCCTTCGTTTCGAGTGTCTCGGGAGGTGCGTCAAGTGACGCCTGAGATCGCGCGCAAGATCTTGACAGAATATATGCTCATGTCGGCCTTAGCAGACCTCCGTTCACCACTTTCTTTAAGGTTTTGCCATTAAAAATGATACCGAAAAGTCTGAATGATTTGAAACTTCACATGGCATATTCTCAAAGATCGGAGCTCGCGGCGCCCGACCTCTCGCCACCGGAATGCCGGGAATACAGCGCTTTTAATTTGAATTCGACGGTAATCCTTTTTGTTTTGCATTTCTCATGACACAGTTGCACAAATTACCCATTAGGAAGCCCAAAATACTCAAGGATACTGGCCTTCTCAGCAGCGGTGGAACGCAAACCTGTACAGCGGCGCCGCTGCCGCTGCTGCCGACTGCACCTCCCTGCCCCCCAAACGCCCTTCCCCACAAACTGCGCATGCACTCGGGAGCCACTGCAGCTTTTCTGAGCATGAGAGGCAGAGCTCCGGGGGCCCGGGGGGCCCTCCCCCACGCTGCAGCGTGGAGTTCAGCAGCGGACTTGAACGCCACAGCTTTCCGCCCTGGGCCTCCAGCCAGACGCAGCCCGCGGCGCGAGCCTATTGCTCTGGCTTGGGGGGAAGCAGATCGCCTCAGGGCCCCTCTTCGAGGCCCGAGGGCCCCCCCCAAACTGTTTTGCCTTATCCATTTTCTTCAAGTTCCCAGTCGCTTTCCTTGAGGACAAACTGCTCCTATGAGCAGCAGCGGGCCTCTCTGCCCGACAGTAGCCTCCGCACCAACCCGGCTGCTGCTTTGGGCGTCTTTTGGGGCCACAGGCAGCAGCAGCAGCAGCAGCAACAGCAGCAGAAAGCCCCGCGGGAGAGCTGGTGCATGCCAGCAGCAGCTCAAGAGGGCGCTGCTGCTTCGCTGCGAGAAGCAGCAGCAGCTTGTGACGGCTCTCAGGGCTTTTCCTTGCCCCTGCCCCTTTCCCAAGACTGCAGCAGACATACAACCCAAAAAGAAGCAGCAGCACAAGTGCCAGCTGCAGCAACCTCAAAGGCCCCGGGGGCCCCCGGGGCTCCCGGGGCCCCCGGGGGCCCCAGGGGCCCCCCGGGGTCTCGGGGTAGTGTGTCTCAGTGCTGTTCAACTCAAGCGGACACAGTGAGTTCGACGCAGCGTGCTGCTGCTGCTGCTGCTGCAGCTGCATGCGACCCTCCCAAGGCAAGTTTGTGCAGCTTGAAAAGTCTTTTTGAAGTGCAAATGAATTGAAACAAACAGGCGAGGAAGCCAACAGTGCTGCAGCACTACATGCGGCTGGAGGGCATCCTGCAGCACAGCAACAAGTACAGGTTTGTTGAATTGCTGCTGCTTCCGGATCTTCTTTGCTTCTCACGTTTGCTGCGGTGTACGTACACCGCAGGTACCTCAAGTACTTCGACAGCAAGGCCACTGCCGACTCGAAGTCCCGCTTTTGGTTGAAATGTAAGGCAGCAAAACCCCACTGACGCAGCAGCAGCAGCAGCAGCAACAGCAGCAAACCCCTGCAGGCGCCTACTGCTCTTCTAATAGGATTTACCGCAAACACGAAACTCTAAGGAAACACATGGAGACAGAAGCGTGTGGCTGGAGCGCACAGGGACTCTCATCAAGCTCCCAGCAGCTGCTGGCAGCAAACGCCAAACTGCAGGAGCAGCAGCAGCAGCAGCAGCAGCAGCAGCGGAAACGGCCGAGTGGGGAGACAGAGGGCAGCAGCGGAGAACAAGGAAGCACTAAAAGAGCACTCACAGCAACTGTAGCAGCAAATGCCGAGGGCTGTGCCAGCAGCTTTATAGCCTTGGAGTGGCAGCAGCATCAACAGCAGCAGCAGCAGCAACAGCAGCAGCATCAACAGCAGCAGCAGCAGCGGCAGCAGCAGCACCAACAAGAGCAACAACAGGCTTTTTCAAGTCGGGAAAGGCAAGGAGATAGAGCCGCAGCAGCAGCAGAGCTGCACCAGCTGGACTGTCTGCAGCCAAACATGAGCTCCTATCCCTTCAACAGAGCAGCAGCAGCAGCAGCAGCAGCAGCAAGGGAAGGCAGGAGCATGAGCAGCATAAATCCTTATTTGTATTTGGGACTAGCGAGCCGCCAGCTGCAAGCAGCACCTCCAGCTGCTACTGCTGCTGCTGCTGCTGCTGCTGCCAACAGGCAGCAAGCTGCATGCAGCATGGGCTTCTCCGGGGCTCTCTTGCCTGAGTCTCATCTTTTTCGCTGCAGCGAGCAGCAGCTAGCTGCCTTTGCTGCCTCCGCAGCCTCCCACCCAGCAGCAGCAGCAGCAGCAGCAGCAGCAGGGGAGCAGCAGCTGTCGTCAAAGGCTTCGGATGTCTCGACTTGTTTGGAAGAGCTGCCGCTGGAGCAGCTGCTGCGGCGCCTTTCGAAGCAAGACGTGCAAATGCTTATACAATCGACGCTGCGCCCCGCAGCAGAAGAGCAACAACAAGCAGCAGCAGCAGCAGCAGCAGCAGCAGCAGAAGCAGAAGCAGTAGCAGCAGCAGCAGCTGCTGCTGCTGTGGCTGCTGCAGCACGAACGCCACAGCCAGAAGCAGCAGCGGCTGCTGCTGCTGCTTCTGCTGTTGCTGCGGCACAAACACCGCAGCCAGAAAATGCAATAGAAACAGCTGCAGCTGCAGCAGCACAGGCGCCTGCAACAGAACCCGCAGCAGCAGAAAAAACGGCAACAGCAACTGCAGCAGCAGCAGAAGCAGCGGCAGCAATGGAGCCAGCGGCAGAAACAACAGCAGCCCCAACAGCAGCAGCAGCAGCAGTAGTGGCTCTCCCTGGCTCTCGAAAACTGCACAACCGAACGCATGCAGCAGCAAAAAAAGCAGAAGGGCCCCTCAGCAGCTCCAAGGCAGCAGCAGCAAAGGCCAAGAAGACACAAAAGCCAGAAGATGGAGTGAAAAGAAAAGGAAGAAAGACAAAAGAAAAAAAGGAAAAGTTTAATAAATTAATTCCCACTTTTGCTGCCAACGCCTGCCACCTCAGACGCTCTCTTCCCGCATCATATCAATCCCCTGAGGACGATCAGCAGCAGCAGGAGCAGCAGCAGCACGAGCAGCAGCAGCACGACAAGCAGCAGCACAAGCAGCAGCAGCACGAGCAGCAGAGGCAAGAGCAGCAGCAGCACGAGCAGACGTCAGAAGAGGCAGCCGCCGGTGCTGTTGAGACTTCATTGTCCTCAACTCCAGCAGCAGCAGCAACAGCAGCAACAACAGCAGCAGCAGAAGCAACAGCAGCAGCAGGCAGCAGCAGCAGCACGAAGCAGAGCGCAAAGGTGTCCGCTCAAAAGTACCGCAGCTGCGGTGTACAGACAATCTTGCACATGGAATACTGTAAGCCACTTCTTCATTATTTATTTATTTACTTATATATTTATTTTTTAATCTATTTATCTTTTGTTTTGTTATTTATTATTTATTTTATTTATTTGCACCGCAGTGGAGGAGGCGCTGCTGTTTTACGCGTCGAGCAGCAAAAGGCGCAGCAAAAAGAAGTTGAAAATGAAAGCAGAAAAAGAAATGAAAAACAAAAAAGAAAAAGAAAAAGAAATGCAAAATAAAGAAGAAACAGAAAAAGAAATTAAAAACAAAAATGAATCCAAAAAAGAAATTAAAATCAAGAAGACGCAGCAGCGGCGAAGTGACACTGCAGCAGCACACGAGGGCGCAGCAAACGAAGCAAGCAGCAACGTCAGTAGGACATTTCTTCATTTTTAATTTGATAATCAACTAATTGATTAATTAATTAATTAATTGATTAATTAATTAATTAATCAATTGTATTCATTTATTCTTTTATTTATTTATTTAATTTTAATTCAGCTGGAGGAAAGGAAAGACGCGCTGCATGCGCTCCGCAGCAGCAGGCGAGGGACTCGCAGCAAGTTGAACAGGGAAGGAAGCAAAGCAGCAGCAAAAGCTGCAGCAGCAGCAGCAGCAGCAAAAGCAACAAAGAAAAGCCAAAGGACTTCGATTTTGCTCCGAGACAAACACCAGGAGTCTGAGGCGAGTGCAACAACTCTTTAAATGCATTCGAAGCAGCAGCAGCTTTTTCTTCACTTAAAACGTTTCTTTGCTTTTCTTGCTGCTGCAGGTCTCTTGCTGCTGCTGCTGCTGCTGTTGCTGTTGCTGCTGCTAGAGTTATTCGGCTTCTTGCTACTAACTTCCCAGTTGCATTTTAGTTTTATTTATTGTGCACTTTCTCTTCATTTGTTCCATTCTTTGTTTGATTTAATTAAAAGCAAACAGCAAATGGATTTAATTGCATTTAGATTCTTTTATTTCTTTTCCTCTTCAGGCGCTGCGGCAGCAGAGCGTCGAGTCCCCGTGGCTGCTGGTTGGAGCGAATCTTTTGATTTCGGAGAAGTGTGAGTTGCTGTTCATTTCGAATTCTAAATAAAACAATTTAAACAAATAAATGAACTAATTGCTGCGCCCCGGAGCCTCTGCTGGCCTGCTGCTGCTGCTGCTGCTGCTGCTGCGCGGGTTTTGATTTGATTGCAGCTTTTAATTTCTGTTGCTGCTGCAGACTGCGACTTGTGGGAAAGCTGTACTGTCACTTCTTACTTCCCGCACACCCAGCGCCACGAGGTGTCTGTACACTCCAGCGGCAGCCTCAAGCGCCTCAGGCTTTCTGAACTGCAGCTGCGCATTCAGAACTAAATTTATTTCTTTTTGTTTCCTTTTATTTCTCTTATTTTTTTATTTCTTCTTTTTATTTCTTTTATTTCTTCTGGACGGGCCCATTTCTTGAACAGACTTGGCTTCTTTTAGAAACGCTTTTCCTCCTTGCAGCTCCATTTGTGTCTTCTTTTTTCTTCATTTTCAAAAAAGTCCTCATATTTCTCTTTTGAACAATTGCATTTCTTTTTCAACAAAAGTATTCTTTTCTTCCATTCATTTAATTCCTTTTCTTACTCTCCAGGCCTCACCCAATTCTCTTCATTTCTTTTCTCTTTGCAGCATTTTGCAAAAAGAAGTTCCACTTTAATTCCTCTCGTTGCTGCAGATTTCACTTTCTTGTTTGCTGTGGAGTGTTCTGCTCCGCAGCAAACAATTCAACAAAGTGCAGTTTGAGATTATTTCCAAAATAAAAAATAAAAATAATTTCTGTAAAGTCTTTGTTGGTTTCATTGATTTGCAGTTCAATTTAATTCAAACTTGAATTTAATACGAAACACTTCCAGTTTGTGAAATGCAGTTCAAATTCAACTTGAACGAAAAGCGGCGACTTTCAAGTTCGGGGAAGTGCGCATGCGTGTTCACAACTAGAACCCGAGGGGAAAGTGAAGAAAAGAAATTAATTCGAAAAGATCGAAACGGAAACTTAAAAACTAATTTCATTTCTTCAAATACTCCCCGACACAACTTCAAAGACCACTGCGCTTCCAGGCTTCGCTGCAGCAAGCCAACGCACTTGAACTGCTGCTTTCTTTGAAGTCTTTTCGTTTCTTTTCTTTTTCTTTTCTTTTCTTTTCTTTTCTTTCCTTTTCTTTTCTTTGCTTCTTAGAGATGAATAAATTGGCAAGCAATTTGAAGAAGAAAAGAAACAAAGACGCCGCGCATTTCATCGCAGGGCTTTCTGTCTGATCACATTTGCATTTGCAAATGACTTGACTTGAAAATGTGCCGAAGTGGCTTTCTTGAAGTACTGCTTTCTTTTGCTTTCTTCAACAACTTTATTTTGAATGGGCAGATCAAAACTTCCCAACTGCAGATTGTTGAACTTCGTCGTTTTCAAACTTTCGCTTCTTTTTATTTGCGCACTCGAAGCTTTACTTCGCTCCAATTCACGTTTTGCTTGCAGTGAATGCGGGAGGTCAGCAGAAAGCGCAGCGCCACTCAGTGACATTGCGATTTCCCCGAAGTGGAAATAAAAGACCTCGAAATGCGTCTTCTCAAGTGGAAAACATCAATTATTTAAAGTTTTAAATCATATTTTTCGTGCGTGCAGATCTCTAGTGCTCGCCTACGCCTAAAACTGCAGCCGTCCAGGAAACTCCTGTGCAGACTCACGGAGTGTTGCAGCTTACATTGATTGAAGCTGAATTTCAAATTAAGGCAAATTTCTTCCGAATTCATAAGTTTATTTCGAGTTGAAAAGCTAAAAGGGCTGCAGGAAAACCGGAAACGAAGAAAAACTGTTCATTCATGCAAGTTGCCTGGTTACTCGCCATTGGCAAGACCACACACCTCGGTGATACTCCTGGGATCTGTATGCTTTAATAAATAGGGGAATCTCACAAGTTATTTAAAATTTAGTTGCGAATAAATGACTAAATTGAACTTCTGGCGGCGGTGATAACGCCTAGAGAACAGTGCCGCTGTGCAGTACTGAAATTCTGAATCGGTAACCTTCTCGAAAGCGGACGGCAGGGGTCCGAATTCCACGAAAAAACGCTGCAAAGAGCAGATCATGTTTCAATGCATGAAAGTTTTCGATTTTTCAGAAGTCTTCAAAGATTTCGACATCTGTTTCCTTCAGTCAGTCCTTCCCTCGGCAGCAGCCCCACCTGGGGCTGCCGCCGAGGCTTGGCCGATCCATTGCGTGTTGAAGCATTTAGAAGCAAAATTGGACCTGCAGCCAATATTTTGCAGACTGTTCTCAAATTATTGTTTCTAAGCTTGCAAAAGGCTCACAATTAGGAGTGTCTGGTGGCGTTGCAAGTGCGGCTCGCTATGGTACTTCGAAATGGGACCAGGGCCTGAGGAAACTTCGTCATCAAACCCAAAAGGTTCAAGAACTGCTGACTTTGGCGCTTCCAACTCGAGCAAAGACCTCCACCACGCGCACTTGCATGCAGCTCCGAAGACCAGCCTCTCCCCCCTCACTGGCGCAGAACACCGGGACAAACTCGAGAGGCGCTTGCAGGCCCAGCTGAGGGATGGAACCCGCAGCAAAAATGTCAAGCGACTTGGAGACCCTCTAGTGAAGCACCTCCTGCGGGTGGCGGGCAACGCAGCCTACAGGTCGGCTGCAGTGCGAGGGCCTTTTGCTTCACGGGCGCCAGAGCTCTTAGTTTGGTTCTTCGCTGCGCATGCATTTCTGTTGAGTTCTTTGCATGCACTCCTCTCAGGGACTTGCGGCAAAGTGTCATAGCCACGGGGAGAACGCTTGTATGCGAGCTACTCAGCAACTTCCCTTGCAGGCGTTTGGCCGTGCGTCGTCGAAGCTTGGCAGCGCTACAGGCTCTACTCCCTTCTTTATACAGCGCTGGAAGTCCTCCCCTCAATGAACAAACCAGCAGCGCAACGCATGATGCCAAATTTGAACTGCCTCTCCAGGATGCGAGGCACTCCGACTACTTCAAGACGCGCTCTCGGCTCAACACAAACGTCGAGACGCACTTTGTCAGCAACAGAATTCTGCGGAAGGTACGTTAGACAACACTGATTAGTCGTCATCTATACATTTGTGGTGGAGTTCAAGCCAAGAAAAACGCGTAACGCCTCAATGCAAGTGCTTTCAGGTGGCGGGCTTTCAATCTTACGACGACGGCTGCGTTGCTGAAATGCGAATGCCAGACCAAGCCGATGACTTCGCGGACATTCGACTGCTGCTCTGCCTGGGCCATATTCCGCCGTCTCTGGGACGAATCGATCAGTCGACGAGAGCATCAAAGCACTCCCCGGAAGGCCTGGATTCTGGAACAGTTGGAACATTGCTTAGAACTGCAGCTGCTCTGCAGTGGCAGGGTGCTTGGATCTTGCCGTCGTGTCCCGATGTATTCAACCCGCTTGCAATAAGAGCGTCACAGGTACGGCAGCAGCATCCCGAGTATGGCGATAGCAACGTATGGCACCTAACTGATATGTTTGAACCGTTTAAAGTGCTTGTCACCATTTTTGCACTCATCTATTCGTGTACCTTATGCGTAGGGAGCTCTCTTTTGGCTACCGTATCGTCGAGGCAGTGTAGAGGAACTGGTTGAGCTTTGTCGGGCCAAAGAGCTGGCTTTGTGTGTGCCTCACGAAAGCGGCAGCCCCGTACGATCAGCAGGGCTTTTTGAACAAGAAAAGAAGGGTGTTTGCCTTGTTTTGGATTGGAGTCTAATGAATAGTGCGATAATGGGCAGCAGCAGAAAGGAACCAAGAGAGGATTCCACCAGTTTGCCTGAGAGCTCCCATGCTTCATCAGCGATTTCGAAGGACGCATCGAGACGCGCGAAAGCAGGAAATTCTATCTTCAAGCCGGACATTTTTGTGTCGCTCGATGCAGACATCGCCCCGGAAGGAACTATGCATCTTCTGCATCCGATTACCGTAGCATCAATGTTGATTTACCACATCAAGCACGTACACTTTCCCTCTCTAACCGGCTCACCTTATCTTTTTTCTGTGAAACAGAGCACTAAGGCTATGTGAAATTTGGTGTCGCGTAGCCACTACACTTGACAGCGAGTTCAACTGTGTTCTGAAGCATGTAGTCGAAAGCTGTGTCGAAACAAGAGTCTAGGTAAGGATACGAAGTCAAAAATCTTGAGCTAACGACACGCGTTACGCAAGCTGCCAGATTAGACAGTGGCAGGAGCAACGGCGACGTATTCGCTGCTTGTTGCGGCGACGATGCTGGCCAGGGTTGTCGCGTAGAAAGCTGAAGGAATCGCACGTGGGCACGTGTGTCAAACATAAATTCCGCTCGCAAGCAGCCTACCGATCAGTGCCCGGGTGACGAATGCGACGATGTTGAGCCTCCTGAAGCGCAAGTACGTTGTCGTGTTCGTTTGTTGCAATTTGTTGCGTGTGTAATTACTTGACGAGAAGGGTGAAGACGAGCTCAAGCAGCATTCCAGCGAGGGCGACGTTGAAGACGGAGCGCCAGTCGCTGCTGACGGCGACCTTCGCGAAGTAGGCCTTGGACGAGAACGCAAAGAGGGTAGCGACGTAGAGGCCGCGGACAACAATGGTGAGCTTCCTATAAGAACAACACAGCTCAACTTTGGCGGTGCGGCTTCAAGAGAGTTCGCGTTTTCCTACCAGAGGCTGCTGACGTTCGTCAACGTCTGGGCAAGCGCGCGGGCGACGCCGCCCGTGTGGAACGGAGAGATGGTCATGGAGAACAGGAAGAGCTCCGTCAGGATGCCGACAGAGAGCGCCGTCAGGAACTGGAGAGGCGACAGTCACTGACACCAACTCAGCGGGACTTGCAGCAGCGGCGCGCTTACCCGTCTGCGGTTGTTGCAGATGGCTTCATCGACTTCTTCCACAGTGGCATAGCGACGGGGAAAGCCGGAGAGAGTTTCAGCTTGCTGCGCCACAGCCGCGTCTTCCGACTTCTCTTCAGTCGCGGCTTCTTCAGTCGCGCCGGGAAGGGGGAGGCCTGGAGGCAGTTGCAGTGATTGGTGCAGCCCCAGCGGAGAAGACGTGAGCCAAGACAAGCTTACCTATGACGGACGCTCCCGCGGCGTCGTGCACCAGGATGTTCAGGAGATCCTCGCTGATCTTGCTCTTGGGCAGGACCACCCCGGCCTCAGGGGCCAACGCCGCTTGACAGGCCGACATCTTTTCTAGTCGAATGGGTAGCATGTAACGGCCCTCCAACCAAAAGTTCAAAATCACAATCAGTGGACATCTGACGGCGCGCCGCCAAACTGCACAGCTGCAACTACCGAGCTGTCTCGACACCTCAACTCAAGCCGTGCCACTTCGCGTCACGAACCCACACCCCCGTGCCAATTTGCAGAAAGCCACCGATCATGGCTTCACTTTCAATTTTTCTGCAGTTTCTCGCTATTTTTTCCGCATTCAAGAGAATTGGAAGCAGTTGCCTCGCCGTCATGCCTACGCCTCTCAGCTGTGACCATTTCCAACTGTTCAAGAACGACTGAGTTGTGCAGCGCGCATTCAACTGAACTACTCGGCGCATTACAACTTCGCAACGCCTGTAACGTAGCAAACGCTCTGCCAATAGGTGAAATAGTTAGAGCCGTCTGAACAGATACGGCCGACTTGTGCATGATCTTGCCTGTTGCGCACTTCGCGCGCCTCACCCACAGCTTAGGAAGTTGATAGACTTCAGTAGTAGCGCCTCCACTCAGCTCATTTGCATGCGATACAATGTATGTTTGTATGTTGGCAGCAAACTGACATTTTGCATCGCCCAGCAAAAGTGCTGCACGTCGCTGCATTTTGGTGGAAAACAGTCTAGGAATGCGGTCTTGAGTGTAATGCCATTTCAGTGAGTGCTTTGCTCGCGCCTCTTTGTTTCTGCGACTTGTGACGAACTGCACTGCTACAAATTCACAAATTGTACAAGCTAGGGGCACACCCTTGCCTGAATAACGAGCAAAAACATGAATTTAACGACAACAAATGATAGTTGAATCGAACGATACGCATGAAAGGCTCCCAAGACTACTAAAAAGAATAGTGTATTCGCCGCTCACACAGTGAGAGCGAACTCTCATAAGTTCGCAGTAAGGAGGCATTCGCAACACTAGCTATGTGGTGCACTCTCATGAGCAATCCGTGAGGGCTCTAGACTGCGCAGTGTCAAAGTCAGCAAAGGTCAAAGTCAGCAAAGCCTGCAACCTGTATGGGTTCTTTGGTAAGAAAATTGTGTCTAAATACACTGTCGGCACCATTCTAAAGGGCGGCCGTGCAAATTCAGGAACAGCTTGCACGAAGGACTGCTGCGGCTTTGGCTGAATTCTGCAGCCACTGGCCGCTGTCGGGTGGACGCCCCTCCTCAAATGTCGTCGAGCAAGTGCGAAGAAGCTCCTGTGCCCGGCGCTGGAGCCGGCAGGGCGGGGGCAGCGCCCTTGATGTACTGGTAAGTCATGCGGCCGTAGGCCACGGGCGGCACGTAGTTCTTCCTGATCTTCGGCGCCTGGCTGGCCAAGATCTCGTGGTTCCTCGCTGCAGAAAGAAGAAGTGCGCAAAAAGAAAAGCAAATGAGTCTCGAGGGAACTCTCGAACTCAAGAATACGTGAAGTGGACAACAAAGTCCGCAGTGCAGGATCCGGGGCTGCGATTTCGCCGCTGCACGGCTGCTCACCGGCTTTGCCTCCGTTGATGTTGACGCCGAGCTTTTTGAACTTGCGAAGCGTCTTTGAGTCATTCTTTTCCACTTTCGCAACAATGGACTGAAGACAAAAGACAAGATCGCCGCACTGCATGCAGCAGCTACCTCAGAACAGCCACGCAAGAAGTTGAATGAAGCAAGCGGGCCCACGCGCCCCCAAGCTGCCTGCAGGTTGAACTCACTGCAAGTTGTTTGTTCTTCTGCGAGTCGATTTCCCTGAGGGCAAAACCAGCACGACAAACTTGCCGCAAGTGCATGCACCGCAGACACCGCAGAAACGGCAAAGGGAGAAGTGGCCTATCGTTGCATACTGCTCTCCTGCGGCCACTCGTCGTTGAAGAATTAAGAATTAAGTTGCTTCGAAACTGCAGCAAATGCAAACGCGAACTGAAGACTTTGCTGCACCTCTCCTTCCACTTGCTGCGCAGCACGCGAATGGGTCTGTTGCCGACGTATTTGTAGTTCATCTCCTTCAGCGCCTTCAGCATGTCGTTCGGATCCGTGAAGGACACAAACCCTGAGCAGCAGCAAACCCTCCAACCAGCCGTCTTTCCAGTGCTTGGACAGCAGCAGCACCACCTGCTGCTGCTGCTGCTGCTGCTGTTGCTGCTGGTGCTGCTGCAGCAAAAGAAGACGCACCGTAGCCTTTGGTCTTTCCCGTTCTCTTGTCTCGAACCACGCGGGCCTTGTCGAAGGACTTGTACTTTCGAAATGCACTCGCGAGGACTTCATCTGTCACTTCGTTTCCCAAGTCCCCGCAGAACACTCTGAGGCCGAAAAACACACAAGAGGACACTCTCCACAGCCTTGCTGCTGCGCCACTCCGCAGCTGCTGCCCAGAAAAGCCTGGCAACCAAAAGCAAACAAAAGTCCCCACTGCGAACGGAACAGCAGCACTGCAGCAGCATTGCAGCAGCAGCATTGCAGCAGCAGCATTGCAGCAGCACTGCAGCAGCACTGCAGCAGCAGCACTGCAGCAGCAGCACTGCAGCAGCAGCACTGCAGCAGCAGCAGCACTGCAGCAGCAGCACCTGTGGTCGTTCTCGGTCCACTCGTCCAGCGTGGGGTCGCTCCAAATGTGGCCCGCGGCCTTCCGGAGATGAACTTTTTTCTTTTCTGACCGGCCAGAGGCCATCACGCTTCCCATCGACGCCGCCTCCTCCGCCGTCAGACTCTGCACTGCCTGTACACCCCGCGCGCGCGCCGCATGCACCGCGTGTACGTACACCCCAACGGAGCAGCAACGAAGCAGCCTTCAACTGCACATGCAAGTCATATATATAATATGTACATATGGTTTGCAATATATTTGTGCTGGCACAGACTCAAAGATTCAAGGGCTGCTGCGGCAAACGCAGAGCGAAATGTATGAAGCAGCAGCAGCAACGTGGAGAGACTCCCGTGCTGCTGCAGCAAAAGCAAAAGGAAATCAATGAAGCAGCAGCAGCAACACGAAAAGACCCGCGGGCTTGCTACTGCAGCAAAAGCATCGTGCAGCAAATGCAGCAGCAGCAGCACCAAACAGACTCGTTTGCTGCCGCGGCAAAAGCAAAAGGAAACAGAGGAAGCAGCAGCAGCAGCAGCAGTAGCAGCAGCAGCAGCAGCAAACCAAAAAGACTCACGCAGTGCGTCGGGTCCACAGCCACCTGCTGCCGCACGTCGGGCTGTATGGGCACCCCTGGAGGCACCATTGCTGCTGCAGCGCAGCACAGCAAAAGGGGCGAAAGCAGCAGCCAACTCTGCTGCTGTGCTGCTGCTGCTGCTGCTGCTGCTGCAGATTGAAGCTGCGTTTGCAGTCAACTAGGCTTCACTGTACGTACACCGCAGTAGGCAGCAGCTTTCACCCGGAGCCAGCAGAAAGGGTCAGATTAAAAGCAGTGTCGAATTAAAAGACTGAAATACAAATTAAATAAATCTAACTGCGGGCTGTGAACTGCAGCAGCAGGAGGCGCTGCTTACCGTACTGGGCTGCCTGCATCATGCGCTGCATGTGCTGCATTTGCTGCAGCTGCTGCAGCTGCTGCATCGCCTGGGGCTGCTGCAACTGCGGCTGCATTTGGGGGCCAAGAGTATTGACAGGCAAGCCGACAGCGGGGAGCGAGGCCTGGGGGAAAGCTGCTGCTGCTGCGTTCGTTGCTGCTGCTGCAGCAACTGCTGCTGCTGCTGCAGTGACTGCAGGGACTCCAGGCAAGGCAGTGCCTTGCAAATGCGGCGGCTGCATCTCCAGAGATGATGCAGCAGCAAGCTGAAGAGCTGGGGGGGGGAACCTTGAAGCTGAGCCTAGCAGCAGCAAAACGCAGCTGTTGCAGCCTTTTGTTTCCTCTTTTGCTTCCAAATGAGTTTTTATTTGCTTTCATAAAACTGCGAAGACAAATCCACGGCGGGAAACGGAGGATCAGTAGCAGCCCCAAGGCGACCGCGTCCAGCGGAAAGCTGAAGTGCCGCCACGAGATCCTTCGCAGCCAACTGCAGCAAAATCGGAAAACACTTTAAACAAATGCAAAAAAAAGTAGTTTGGCGGAATAAAGTGAGCTAAAAATACTGCCGGGCTCGGCGCCACTCCAGTGTATACACACACCTGGCAATGGGGCTGTCCGTCAGGCGTACAGGAAAACTGGAGTTCTGGAGTAGAGCCTGTTCGCGTAAAGAAGAACTTCCCTAATTAAATGAAAACAAAAACTTGGTCGCCTTTGTCTCTTTTAGCCTATTAAGACAAGAGAAAAGCCTTTGCAGCCTTCGCTCCGCCGCACGCCACCTGCGCCATAACTGTAGAGTTCTTCCTCAAGGCATTCATTTTTTCGGCTAAAGTGCCACAAAATGGCATTTAAATTATATTTGTGGCCACACTGAAACGCATTTCTTTATATTTTTAGGTGGGTCTTTCTCATGTTTCGCAGTGCGCGCATCTTGAATCTGAGATTCAAGTCATTTACTGGCTGAATAGAGGCTCCTAGACAAGCCAGCCTTTGCAAGAAAGCTGCAACTGGGTATTTCGAATTAAAAACAAATATCTGGTTAATTTTATAATCATTAAATATTCTATTTTTGCTCCACGCCTTCTTTTAAGTGTTATCTTGAACATCGAAAGCAGAATGTTGAATGGAACTCTGCAGCAAAATGAACAGCCTGAGACTGCAGCACATTGAACAGCAAAACTTGAATTTTAAATCTTAACAGTAAGGCTTCCACAGCAGCTTAAGATGGCCACTTAAGTCTTTCATTTTTAAATGTCTTTCGTTTCAATTCTGTGCATGCAAACAGCAGCAGACAGCGCTGCACTCGTTGGCACTCAAAGATTATTATGAGAAGACCCTCATGCCTGTTGACGCAGAAACGTCATCTCTCTATGTACAGATATATATAAACATATATATATATATATTACCATATATGTATATGTATATATATATGTGTATATATGTATGTATATATAACCTATATATACATAAATATATATATATATTATATATAAATATGTATATTATACAATATATATAGAAATATGTATATTATACATATATATCTACAAGCTGTATATATATATATATTAATACATAAAACCTATATACATATGTTATAAGATATATACATTATATATAAATATGTATATTATACAAATATACATATAAATATGTATTTTATACATATATATCTATAAGTTGTGCAACTTCCCCCGCCACTTGCTGGGTAGTTAGAAAGGGGGGGGAGCTGTGTCTCATTTTGCTGCGTTAGCTGCTCTAAAAGCTTCTAATGCAGCATCACTGCAGCAGCTGCAGCAAACAATTTGCTGCTGCTGCAGCACCGCTGCAGCAGCTGTAACAAACAACTTGCTGCTGCTGCTGCAACACATTTTGTGGAGGACAAAGCCACTCATTTGAACAGATTGTGCTGCTGTTCATATTTCTGAAAAGCCAGTTCTAAAAAAAAATAATTATTCTAGTTTGTATTTCTAAGAATTAATAATAGCAATAATAATAATAATAATAATAATAGTAATAATAATAATAACAAAACCTATCCATATGAGCAAATGCTGCACATATATAAGTACTCATTAAAGCGAGTCTTTGAGCCATTTAAATAAATGAAATAAACTCCATCTTTCCACCGAGTTGTGCAGATTCACCTCTGTAGTTACACAGAAGTCTCTAAAACAAAACTTTCAAAACCTGAAATGAATCGAAATCGAAAGCTGCAAAGCTCCAAAGACCCGCGCAGCAGCAGAAGGCAAAGACAAGGACTTTGAAATATCAAAGTTTTCAAATATTTCATTTTTTAGTCAAACAAATAATTATTTTTAAAATGTGAATGGAAATGTGCAGCTCAAAGAGTCAGCAGCGGCTGGGAAAGCTGCAGAAGAAGAATGTGAATTTCGTGCAACAAGTCCGAAACAGAACTTCTGCAAACATGAACAAACACTAAAAGTTGAAAGAAAAGATCTTGTAATGTTTTTTTTCCTAAATAACTGAAGATCAAGTGGGATCTTGTGGCTGCAGCAGTAGCAAAGTAGGGAGCTGCTGCTTTCAGTTGTCTGCTGCTTGCTGCAGCGGCTCTTAAGCCGCGGTAAAGTGTAGTTCTGAATCTTGAGGCTTTCAGGGTCTGCAGCTGCTGCATTAATTCAGAAAAGATGTTTGGGAGGGCAGCAGACCACGCAATGCTCTACATAAACCCTAGACAAACCCTAGATAAACCCTAGATAAACCCTAGACAAACTAGATAAACCCTAGAGAAACCGTAGATAGACCCTAGATAACAATCGGTAAACCCGCAGTAAATCCTCGGGAAACCCTAGGAAACCGCAGGTAAAACCCTGCGGTGTAAACCCCACACAAACCCTCTATAAATCCTAAATAAACCCTAAATAAACCTTTAATGAAATAAGACAAGGTGAAGTCCCTTGAAAACTCCGCAAACTTGCAACAACTGGAATCCCCGCAGGCGGCAGCCGCAGCCGCAGCCGCCTGCTGACAATCATTGCTGCTCCGGCAGTTTGCCGGGGATGGGGTGCAACAATTAGGGTTAAAAAGGTATTCTCGTAATTAAAATTGAAGATATATTGCGATATTTGCAATTTTAAATTGAAAACACAATTTGAATTGCGTCTTCTCGAGAGAAATGGCCTCCGCAGCAGACCTGCACTTTTCGGCGTCACCGCCTCAGGTGTTTCTGAAACCTGAACAGCTCTGCAGCTGGCGCTAGGGCTCAAAGGCCGCAATAAAAAGCCGTTCAATTCAAACAAAAGATCTTTTAGAATTTTATTCTCCATTTTAATCCTAATTCGGGCACCATTAGCCTTTACTGGCGAGATGAGATCCCCCGTTTCGCCCGAAGAGCTCGTGGGACTTTTGCTGCTGCCGCAGCGCCAGACATTAGCAGCAGCTACGCAGCGGTTGAAAGGAAATTTAGCGCGCTAAACAGTGCAACAAATTGCTTGGAGTTAAAGGATGAATCTCCCATGAATCCGCTAAAGTGGTGGATCTGCATGAATCCTGCACGAATGCTCTAAAGTAGTCAACTTGCAATGTGCAATGCGGGAGTGAGACCAACAAGCTACTGTAGACATTGCCTGGGATTTCACGAAGGGCTCTAAAATTTGGTTTCGACCATTTTTGAATAATCTGTGCGAAACAGAATTGCCCGAATCTGCCTCTTCATTGGTTTGCGACGCAAGACGCTGGCAGCCATACCAGGCGTGGCGAACATAACGGAGGTGGAAAGGAGCCTTAGATGGGACTTAAGCGCCTCTCCGCGCGTGGAACATGCAAACTTAAATGCATTTATTTTATTAATTTGCATTTTTATTTCCCTTGTTGCAGAGGAAGGCTGAGGATCGCAATGCTTTCCCTGCCGCACCCGCCCATTACCGCTGCGGGGCTGCGGCCAACGCAGACGAATGAAACAAAGGCCAAAGCTCCAGCTGCTCTCGAGAGAAAGTAACTTTTCTTTTTGTTGCGGAGCTCCTGCTGTTCTTCTTCAAGACACTTTTTTTTTCGCCTTCGGCTGCCTTCCTACGCCTCCCTCCCCCACAGCCTGCAGTGTCTGCACAGCGCAGCGGCCCTACACTGAGCCACGGAGGGTGACAGTACCTCTCGTCTCACTTTTACCAGTCTCTGGGGCCTGTCAGCAGCAGCAGCAGCAGCAGCAGCAGCAGGAGCCGCAGCAGCAGCAACGCCCTCGCCCGACTCGGGGCACCGACTCTGACTCAGTTTTTCAAAGGCTTCTTGAGTTCTCTTGCGCGTTTTCTTCTCAAGACCTTTTGGAAAAGAATTGCAAGTTTTGCTTTTTCCTCCGTGGCCTTTTCAAACTCCCCAGGGCTCTCTTTGCTTCACTTTTGCAATTTTCCTCTTTTGCAATTTTCCGTTTTTTCTTTTTCTTCGCTCGCCTCGAAATTTGCTGCTCTTGAGCGCCGCCATGAAGGGTGGGTGAAGATGGCCGCTTGCTCAACGTGCCGCGTTGTGCTGCTGCTGCTGCTGCTGCTGCTGCTGCTGCTGCTGCTGCTGCAGTTGCTGCTGCGGGCGCCTCGCGGCAGCAATGGATGCGCAGAAGTTAACTGAACTGTACATACAGCTGAAGGAATTTGCGCAGCACCGCGCACCGAGGAGCTGCAGCTGGACCAACTGCAGCAGCAGCAGCAGCAGCAGCGGCAGCAGCAGCAGCAGCAGCACAACGCGGCACGTTGGGTGTGTCTGGTTTGGTGTGGCTGGCTGGCAGGAAGAAAGAAGGAAAAGTATTCTGCAAAAAGTGACGAATATGAAGTGGAGGACATCGTGGGCTACAAGAAGGAGAAGGGACTTGTACGTACACCCCAGCCCCAACTGGAACTCCCAGCGACAGTCCTGCACATTTATTTCTTTTCATTTAAATGCACGTTTTCATGTGTTTACAAGTACATATTTAAATTTATTTATATATGTGTTTATATGCACTTTTTTTGTATATATACTTGATTATTTATTCACTCATATTTGTTTATTTGTACTTTGCAGACCTGTAGCTGCATATTATCTGCATTACCTGCATGCATGTTTATCCTGTCATCATATATATATTTATATATTTATGTATTTATATGTTTATATTTGTATGTTTATATTTGTATTTATTTTAATATTTATATTCATATATATATATATTTTGTATTTATATTTACGTTAACACTTATATTTATACTTTTATTTTCAATTTATGTTCATATTTTATATTTATATTTACAAATATACATATAAATATATTTATATTTATATTCATGTTTACATTTATATTTATATTTGTATTTATATTTAAATTTATATATATATTTTATATTTATATTTATATTTATATATATGTTCATCTAAATATTTTATAGAAGCAATTCAAACATGGAAGTGCTGTTCAGTTGCGGCTCTTTTCAAATTCATTTTTTGAATTTTCGAAATTCAAATTTTGGCGTTTTTGACTTGAGGGCTTTTTAGATTCTTTTTTTCCATTTATTCTCTTTTTGTGGTCCTAAACCCTAAACCCTCGAGTGCAAACCCTAAACCCTAAGAAGCCCGAATTCTAGACCCTAAGCCCTCAATAGACCCTACAATATAAACCCTAAACCCTAAATTGGGGACTGGAAACCCTGAACAAACCCTAATTATAGGCCGGAGACCCTAAATTGTGGCGTGAAAACCCTGAACAGACCCTAACTCAAAACCCTGAAGAAGCTCTGTTCTAGACCCTAAACCCTAAGTTGTGGACTCAAAACCCTCAGAAAACCCTGATTTTGGAATTGATTTGGAGTTTTTTCTCTTTTTTTCAGGATTATTTCAGAGTGCGGTGGAAAGGCTTCGACGAGTCGGACGACACCTGGGAGGTGGAGGTGAGCCCTTTTTGGATTTTTGGGTTTTTGTAACAGACAAAAAAGTGAATTGCTTTCATTTCGGAGTCCAAAATAAACTTCTTTTCTGTTCTCCAGACCAAAAACTAATCCTTTATTTGATTTAAAATGAAGTTAAGTGGCATTTCTTCTTTAAAGAACAAAAATGGAGAACAAACTCATCGAGATCGGAGACTTTAAGGAAAATTCATTTCAAAAAGTGTTTCCGTTTTGGCTTCCCTTGCAACTCCGAGGTGTACGTACACCTGGCGTGTCTGCGCAGTCCAACTTGGCGCATGCCCCCATGTTTCATTCCAAGATGCAGGAGTTGAGGTGAGGCTTTTTTTGCAACTATTTAGTTTTATTTCTTTGAATTGAAGCATTCCAGCAGCAGCTGCCGCTAGTTCTGCTGCTGCTGCGCCTGCCGCTGTTCTGCAGATGCTGCTGTTGCTGCTGTTGCTGCTGGGTTCCTCTCAACGTGCCTTCCTGCTGCTGCAGCTGCTTGCCGCCGCCGACACTGCTGCTGCTGCTGCTGCTTCTATTAGCCCCCGCTCGCGGTGCTGCGCTGCTGCTGCAGGAAGGAAGCTGAGCAGAAGGCCCTGGAGCGCGAAGCAGAAGCAGCAGCAGCAGCAGCAGCAGCGCATGCAAAGAAGAGGAAGCGGCAGGGGCCGGTGGAGTCGGACCCCAGCAGGCCCTGCGATGAAGCGCCTGCGGAAAGCGACGAATGTGAATTTCGAATTTACGCCACGGGGACGAAAGTGCCGAAGAATCATCTTCCGGGTATTTGAAATAAACAAAAATGGAAATAAAATTCAAAATGCAGCATTTCGAGGCGCTTGGCGCTTCCTCTTCGTAGCTGCTTGCTGCTGCAGACTCTTTTTGGAGTTATTTCCTCGCACTTGGCGCTGCTGGCGGATTTAATTTATTTAATTATTATTTTTTCATTTTATTCAGAAACATTCTTTTGATTGCTCCGATTTCGGCGCTGCAGCAGCCGGCGGTGGTTGCTGCTTCTCGGGTGTACATGCACCTCCGCTGCTCTTCGCTTTCCGTCGCCACTTCGAATTTCACTTTTGTTCTTTCGTCAGCAACACTTGACTTCTTTGTTTATTTCTTCGAATTAATTATTTCTATTTGCAATTTATTCGTTTAATTACCTTTTAATTTATTTATTTGTTTCATTTCAGTTTTCCCCTTTGCTCCCGCTGTGCAGACGAACTGGCCCTGGGCAGCCGCCTGAGCATTTTGCGCTTCAAGCGCTCGCCGCAGAGCAGCGCGGACCCGCAGCAGCAGCAGCAGGAGCTGGAGGAGGGGCACGACATAACAGTAACTTACACAATTGACGGCACTGACACCTACACCATCCCCTTCAGTGCAGCAAGAAGATACTGCTGCCAGCGGCTGCTGTCTTATTTGATTCGCCGCACAACCTTCAGGACCCCCCGGGGGGGCCAAGACGCAGCAGCAGCAGCAGCAGCAGCAGCAGACGCAGCGGGAGCTGAGGGCGGCAGCAGCAGCAGCAGCGGGCACCCCGTCACCACTTGTGCTGCTGATGATGGATCCGTCGAGGAGTGCGCAGCAGACAGAGCAGACCACCTGGTGGAGAAGAGCGAGGTGTATGTACAGACAGACGAAGTAAAGAGCAGCAAACCAGCAGCAGCAGCAGCAGCAGCAGCAGGGGCGCTGAGGGAAGACCCGCAGTATGCAAGTATCAGCAACGGCAACAGCAGCAGCAGCAACGGCAGCAGGACGAACAGCACGAGCAATGACGGCGGCATCAGGAACAAGAACGTTAAGAAGGACGACGCAGCAGCAGCAGCAGCTGCTGCTGCTGCTGTTGCTGCTGCAGGGGAAGCAGCAGCAGCAGCACGCAGCTGCACGTCGCCGTCTCCCGCCCCCGCCGTCGTAGATGTGGCCTGAGCCAGAAGTGGAGAGGAAATTAAAAACAATAAAATGAATTTAATTCAAATGAATTTAATTCAAAAGGATTTAGTTCAAATGGATTTAATTCAGGGAAATGAAAAGAAATGAGTCAGTTAGAAGACAGCAGCGCCAGACGCAGCGGCGCTGCGCATTTGTCTATCCGCAGACGCTGTGCATGAGGTGTATGTACACCGCAGCTGCTGCTGCAGCGCTGCTGCAGCAGCAGCCAAGTGCTGCTGCTGCAGGTAAAGCGGCAGCGTATAAAGCTAATTTGTGCGCCGAGGGCTAGGGTTTGCTCCTGTAGTTTCTTCGTCTGCAGCGGCTGCTGCAGCAGAAGCTGCTGCTGTTGCTGCTGCAGCCTCGGTGAATGCGTTGATGTGGGAGGCAAAACAAATGCAAGACAAACACAAGAGTTTTGCTTCGCAGCTGCTGCTGCAGCTGCTGCTGCAGCTGCTGCTGCAGCTGCTGCAGCAGAACAGCTGCAAAGAGCTCTGAAGCTTTGTGGTTTCCGTCCTTTGTTCCTTTCTTTTTTCTTTCGGGGCAGCAGCGCAAAGAGAGAGCCCCGGGAGCCAGGTGTACGTACAGCCCAGTTCGCTGGGGTGTACGTGCACCTCAACTCGCAGACTCCGTTCCGTCCTCTCATTTCTTCTTTTGTTTCAAATCAGCTGTGCGCTTTTTGCGGCGAAAGGGCTGCAAATAGCTTTTATTTGTTACTATTTGTCGTTTTATTTATCACTTATTCATTACTATTATTGTTTTGTTTCATCTTCAATTCGCTTTCCCGAAGTTCCTTTCCACTTTGCGCAGCTGCAGCTCAGGTGTATAGGCAGCTCACGCGTCCGTTTGCATCTTTCCCTCCGCCTCCGCGCTGTCGCCGGCGTCACAACTATTCAAGTTCGCATCTTTTTTGCCACTACTGTCCTCATTATTGCCATTATTGTCGCCATTATTATTATTATTATTATCATTATTATCACAATTATTATTGTTGTTGCTGCTGCTGTCGGCGGCGTCTTCCGTCCAGCCGACGACGACGGGTCCTTCATCTCCCTGCAGCGCCAGCAGTACTTGTTCCATTTCCGAAAAGTTTTTCATTTCTCCTTTTCTCTTTTCGTCCGTTTTGAAAAGAATCCTCACGAGGTCGCACAGCCGCTTTGCTGCTGCTTCCACTTCTTTGTACTGCGGCTCCAGCGCCGCCAGCCGCGCGGCCACCGCCCTGTCGATTTCCGCTTCTGCTGCTGCTGCTTGTGCTGCTGCTGCTGCTTCTGCTGCGGGTGCTGTTGCTTCTGCTGCTGCTGGTGGTTGCTGCTGCGTTTGTTCCGTTTGCATTGCGTCTGGGTGCCGGTCGTGGACTTCCCGGCGTCTGGTGGGTGCAGCTTTGCCCGCTGCAGCAGCAGCAGGCGTTGCTGCTGCTGCTGCTTCCACCTGCTGCTGCTTCAGCGCGGCCCTGGCAGCTTGTCTGTCTACGCTGCAGCAGAACTCCAGCAGCGCAGCGCAGCAGCTCGTCAGCAAATTGTTTTGCTGCAGCGGCTCCAACTCCGTGAGCTCGTCGGGGGCTTGTTCCAGCTGCGCGTAGAAGGTGTCAATGAACTTGCTAAACAGCTCTGCAGCAGCAGCAGCAGCAGCAGCAGCAGGAGCAGGAGCAGCAATTCACAATTCTGCATTCTCTTGGCCGACGGCAACCACGCGCAGCAGCAGCAGCAGCAGAACCCGCAGCGCAAAACAGCAGGAGCAGGCGCGGGTAAGCGGCCCGCGGCTCCAAAAACAGCAGCAGGAGCAGCAGCAGCAGCAGCAGCAGCAGCAGCAGCAGCAGCACCGGGGTAGAGGTAAAGGGCCCTCTCGGAGTTGCAAACGAGCTGGAGAAGGTCCTTCCAGTGGACCAGCGAGGGGTAGTGGTGGCCAAGGACAACAGCAATGAAGGCCATTTGGAGTTCGGCGAGAACAGCAGCAAAGCCTTCCTGGTGTTCGCGGATGAGCAGCAGCAGCGCGTCGGAGCGGTCGGTGCACTGCGCGGTCACTGCAGCAGCAGCAGCAGCAGCAGCAGCGGCGGCGTCCAGGCCGGTGCGCCGCGCTGCTGCTGCGGCGCAGCGCGCAGCAGCAACTGCTGCACTCCGCGCAGGACGCACGTCCATGTAGAACATCCGGCAGGAAGCAGCTTCTGCTGCTTCCCTCCTTTCCCGCGCGGCTTCCTCCTCCCCTCCCGCTGCTGCTGCTGCTGCTGCGTCTGCTGCTGCGGCGTCTGCTGCTGCTGCGTCTGCTGCTGCTGCTTGGCCGGGTGCAGCGGCGGCGTCGCCGCTGCCCTCGCCGTCTCCGCGCTTCCCCTCCGCGCCCCTGCGCGCGCGCCGGCGCTGCTGCCGCTGCTGCTG